TGAACGTAAGTACAATTGCATTCATGTGATGGTGTTTTTATAGTGTGGTTGTTTTTATTATTCTGGTAACAATACAAAGATAATATATTGTGTTACGAAAGTTAGGTTGACCAATCCAAACGAGACTATGATAACTAAAATTGAAAAAAAAACATGCTAGTAAACGAAAGAAAATAAAATAAGCATTTTCAAAAAAGTGACAACCCACTGAAACTAAAATTGAAAAAGTTAAATTGACTGTTTTAAAAAAATAACTGAAACAATATTTTAAAAACTAGCCTAAACTAACTGTAATTTTAGTGAAATTGTTCTTAAGTTTTGTCTTTGTAAAACAATGTAATACATGAGCTTTCAGCGTTGATTTCAAATTTATTTTGTCCCATTTTGCAACAGCTGTATTGAACAAAGTACATTGAAGAGTCATTTGGGAATTGTAGTTCTAGTACTGTGTGTTGCCTCGTAGCGGTGTCATCTTCTGTTTTTGGGCGGTGGGCAAACAACTTTTGGTGCATTACCGTCCGCTTCTGAAATGGAGTGTGGGACTGGGTCTTTTTCACAAACCCCTATTTAACTCTACTTTTTCCCCAAATAAAATACAAATGTAAAACCTAACTCACAAGAACTGCTCTGTCTCTATTATTCAAAGCTACTTTCTGAGCTCTTAGCTCATAAATTAGTTGTGTATCTTTGAATACTATGGGCTCATCTCATGTCTCTTAATGTCACCGTTTCTACCTCCTCAAAACACTGAATGCGTCCTGGAAGTTGTTCTCACGCCATCATATTCAGGAGCATTTCAATTTACTTAAATGCACATCGAGGTGCGCAGACCGAGCATATTAAATTGAGGGGCATCTGATGTATCCCGTGTCAATGCTCACCTCTTGATAAAACAGTTGCTTCAGGGTCCCGGGATTAACCTGCAAAAAGTTGCTCTTCAAAATGAAGAAGTTGCTCCTCAAATGAAGTCATTGATTATCAATGTTGCTTCTCAAAGAAAAAAAATGTAATTTCAGGCCTTGGTGCAAGTGTGTGTGTGTGTGTGTGTGTGTGTGTGTGTGTGTGTGTGTGTGTGTGTGTGTGTGTGTAACCTTGTGAGATGATATCAGAATTGACGCTGCATATTAGAAAGGCTTTGACATTTACCACGGTAAACAATTTCATCAGGACGGAGAGACAACGCTTTACTCTTTGATGTTGTTGACTTGCATGACATTGCAGGTTTTGATGGTGCTGAAACGGTGATTAGCAGAGCCACAACAGATGCACTTCAAAGAGGCCGTTTTCTGAAATGTGAATCAACAATGAATGCAGGCTATGGCCTGGAAAAGAGAAGGACTCTTTTGTTTAGAACAAGTATTCAGATTTATTTTCAATAACAAGGGACAGACGTTCAATGAAATATATTACAATTATGCAAGGTGCCATCCATCCATCCATCCATTTTCTGTACTGGCTGTCCCTTTCTATCACAGAAAGCACACCCTGGACCGATCACCATTTAATTGCATGGCACATATAGCAAAAACACACTCGCATTCAATACAGACAGTATAAAGTCTTCAATTAGCCGAACATGCATGTTTTGTAGACGTGAGAGGAAACCCAAGTGCCTGTGAAGCAAACTGTGCTGCCTGCAATGTGGCAGCCACCATAAATAACTTGTGGCAGTCACAAGTCGCAAGAATTAAATGACCCGCTGCAGTTGCAACCCTGGGCTCTGACTCTGGATTATTTTGAGCGATTTCAGATATTTCTATTCAACAATGTGGGGGTTATCATTAATTACTGCCGCAGGAATGTAAGAATGATATTACACTTCCAGGGTGTGTGTGTGTGGGGGGGGGGCATGACCATTTTATACAACTCCACTTCCCTTTTTTAAAAACATTTTTTTTTTTCAGAGAGGAATTTGTGGGGAAAATGAATTGTCATTTTTTTAAATCTACTAGACAATGTGTGCATTCATGCACCAGATTTAGCAGAAAGATAATTATCATCTGTAGTCCATTTATCATGAGAGTTTTCTCCTGGCTAATTGCCTTTAATTTCATGTAAATTTCAATTTTTAAGGAAAAACACAGCATTGAACTATATACAGTACCTTCATCGGGATATAAAATTACCTGTGTCAGGATATACATTGTTGTCTATATCACCCACATCTGCTTTGAATAATTACATGGGAAAAGTGTTATGCGGCTTTGGAGCGATTTCAGATATTTCTATTCAACAATGTGGGGGTTATCATTAATTACTGCCGCAGGAATATAAGAATGATATTACACTTCCAGGGTGTGTGTGTGGGGGGGGGGCATGACCATTTTATACAACTCCACTTCCCTTTTTTAAAAACATTTTTTTTTTTCAGAGAGGAATTTGTGGGGAAAATGAATTGTCATTTTTTTAAATCTACTAGACAATGTGTGCATTCATGCACCAGATTTAGCAGAAAGATAATTATCATCTGTAGTCCATTTATCATGAGAGTTTTCTCCTGGCTAATTGCCTTTAATTTCATGTAAATTTCAATTTTTAAGGAAAAACACAGCATTGAACTATATACAGTACCTTCATCGGGATATAAAATTACCTGTGTCAGGATATACATTGTTGTCTATATCACCCACATCTGCTTTGAATAATTACATGGGAAAAGTGTTATGCGGCTTTGGCAGTCTCCGTATGGAGTTTAGTGAAGCCACAGAGAATAACTTCCGGACAGTTTAGTGGTGATTCTGGTCCTTCTCAGGAGGGGGAAGTAGTGCACCATGACGCCAGGTGTCAAACTCCGGTCCCCAAGGGACGTTATCCTGCAGCTTTTCCTCCTCTCCCTGCTGCAACTTACCTGATTCAAATGATCAGGATCCCGAGAAGGCTCCTTCAGAGCTTGCTGATGAGTTGATCTTTTAAATCAGGTGGGCTGCAGCAGGGAAAGATGGAAAACACCTGTGATTAACGCTGTTTATAATAGAGATGGGTTACTGCTGACCTTAACTTGGACATTGTTTGTCGATGGGGAGAAAACCTCCTCAATTCCACCGACATGCCTTCCCGTGAGGAAGCAGAGTCTGTGATCTCTGAGGTGGGCTCTCCTATCTCCCTCAGTGGTGGATGAGATCCGCCCAGGGTTCCGATAGGTTCTGGATGTTGCATGGCTGGCCTAAAGGTTCTGGATGTTGCATGGCTGGCCTGTTGGCATGCCACTTCAACATTGCGTGGACGTCAGGGACAGTGCCTCCAAATTGGCAGGTGGGGGTAAGAATGTGTTTTACAAAAACTGAGACCGTGAAAATTAGCAGATCAGTGTTTTTTCTCTGATGTGCATTTTAAATGTTACATTTGTTCAGGGTAACAAGTGTTTCGAAGGGTGGTAATTGTATGGGGTGTTTGTGATGGCTCACTCGAGCCGTAAATCCCCCTATAGTAAAATATATATATTTTTAAAATCATTTAAAAGGGTCAACATTTACTTTGTGGAAATTCACTTGATGGCTTGGAACGTATCACCCGTGAAAAGTGAGGGAACACAATATAGCATTTGGAAAATGTATTTTCGACCTTGAAGTATTTTTACCCCACATCTTTTTCATGAACCCATTCGAGTGATCCAATAACTGCCGTTTCCATCGCTAGTAAGAAGGGATATTCTTTGTGACTATCATTTTCTCATCAGCGTTCCCTTTCAGTTTTTCTCCTTCTGTGCATTTCTGTTGAAGGGACGGTTGGATGTTTGTGATTGGGCCATTGTTGGATTTTCTCACAGAGCAGGCTTGATTGGCATGTTTACACAGATTGGTCCGTCTATGCTCCTGGCTAATGCAACACCTTTGTTCATTTAATTGGTTGCTATCTACCCATGGGAGAGAAGGAAGGAATAATTATACTGCATCTTCAGGATGCTATTCTTCAGAAGACCACTGCAGAACATCATCTTCCACTTAAGCTTCAAACATGTCCAAGGAACGAACTCCTTATATTGTCCTATTACAGTATGTTGGCTTTATCAAATATTTAGTGTATTCTTATCATTTGTCGATAGATGTTACTTGGGTTATTTAGGTTGGTTTTTACATATATATATATATATACACACACACACACACACACACACACACACACACACACACACACACACACACACACACAGTATATAAATAGCTTTCTCAGTTCAACCTTTCGAGCGTCAATTGCTATTGGCCACATTTGTAAATCACTTAAATGACCTTCTGGACTTCAAATGAATTATTAATTTGTACCTGCATTCGACTTGATGAAATGTGAAACGTGATGAATTGGTTTACAGCTTCCCTGACAATGTTTCAACCCGTTTGTAGTACCATTTCAAATTTTAATCATTGTTCCTGCAAGATTTAGTGGAATGGTATTTGATGTGCAAGGCTCCTAAAAAGGGGCAAAGAAGTTAGAGAGAGAGAGAGAGAGAGAGAGAGAGAGAGAGAGAGAGAGAGAGAGAGAGAGAGAGAGAGAGAGAGAGAGAAAAAGGGAGTAGGAGCGCCCAAAGTTAGCTGCGATTAGCTCCAGTTCACCCGCGACTCTTTAAGATCGTATTTCAAAAATAAATTTTAAAAAAAGAGATGGATAAATGTTTGTTTTGTTTGTGTTAAATAATTGTATTTAAATAAAATGAGAAGAACCCTTTCTGGGACAGCTTTGACTGCAGTTAGACAGACTAATATGACAAGATGTTTAAATTTTTTTTTTATTGGGTAATAAGATACATAATTTTAACAGTACGTGCTGGAGAACACAGATGTTAAAAAGCCAAAATCATTCAATCACAGGTGCAGGTAGCAAAAGTATTCAAATTAATGAGTATAATGTATCAAAATTATGATGATGAAACGTCAGCAGTTTTCAACGTTAAATAATCCCAAGCCATTTTTAGCATTTATATGTGTTGAATGTAAATATAGAAAAAAGTAGGATAACTACTTTACTGTCCAAAGTTTCATTCACATGTTGTTTCTTTTTTTTTCCAGGTTGCTGGGAAATTACCCTGTGTCAACAATTGAAGCCATCCACCAATTTATGGATTTTTGAGCGCTACCGTCACATTTTTCGCATCTCTTAAACCTCCTTGATCAACAATTCCTAAAGAGTCAGTCCAAACTGCAACATCATTCTGTTTATCTAAAACAATGTCGAACATTGCTTCTCAATTTGCCAGTTGCCCGCTTCGAATGGTGATTCAGTATTTTTTTCCTCTGCTATTAATGGGGGCGTGGTGCCACTCATCCCCTTCAGGGTCCGAGTCAAACTCCTGTTCTACACTGGTCCAAAGCCGCTTTTTTGGCTTCTTTCGGTCATCATCAGTATTCCCCACTGTGCCTTGCTCCTGGACCCTGCAGAATCCTGATCCACGGCATTACACCATCTTCATCAAGATAACAAAACCTACCCAGGACTGTCTGCCATTACAGCTTCGTATCTTCCAATACGACACTTTCTTGGAGACCACACACTCCTACCTAGGAATTGACAGCTTTGACGAAGTTGTGAGGCTGTGTGACACCTCCGCCCCAATGGCCTTCCTGGAGGCTGACAAGCAATTTGTTCACATGAGAAAGGGTCCTCATCAGAAAGATGCAACCACTACAAGTGACAGTGACGAGTTCAAAGTCGAGTACCTGGTTGTTGGAAAACGTAACCCCAGCATGGCAGCCTGTCAGATGCTTTGCCAGTGGCTGGAGGACTGTTTGGCTTCCAGCACATCAAGCAGGCCATGTGGCATTATGCAGATGCCGTGTTCGTGCTGGCATCCGCCGCCAAAGCACGGTGAGGGCAACAGCTGTTACTACAACGGAGTTTACCTGGAAAACTGTTTACCCAAAGTAAGAGAAACTGGAAAAAACACCAAAATAAATGGTGAGTACAACCTTATGAGCTGACATTTGAATGATTGTTTCTGTCCTACGTAAGGATTACCCTGACCTATTGCACGTCAACGTTTCAACTATGTCACACAAGCAAGCAAACGGGAAGGGTGTGTGTGGTTTGAAAATCGCGTGTCTGTAATTTTATCACATTGATTTGGGCAGCTGGAGGGAATTAGGATATGCAGGAAAGAGAAAGGGAAGGAGGAACCGAAAATCCCTTATGCATGGTTTACAATTTCATCTGGTAGGAGAGAGCTCTGTGACCTTGCAAGGTCAATACTGTGTTTTGCGCTTGTTCGGTCCAAGGAGGGACACTCAATCAGCTTCTGGGAGAGCAGGAGACATGAAGGAGAATAAAAAGGCTGATATCGGATAGTACAGTGTTTGGAGGTGGGAGGGGGTGAGGCGGGGGTGTGTGGACTGGTGATGTAAACAAAGAGAGGACATTAGAAGGGGAACTAGAAAATGGAATCGGATAAGGGTCTGTGGATTGAAGTGTAATTGCCGGCTACTTGATCCTGCCTCCCCTTCTGCAGACAGAATGCAGCCTGACATCCCTGTCCTGACTCTGTCAGCAACATTGCCCGAGGGTTGATTCTTGGCTCTCCATCTCCTTATTTATTTCTTGTCTGTTATTACATTTTCCGTGGTTCTCCGCCTCTTTTGAACCATCATTCCCTTCCCAGACTTTCTTTCCTGAGCCTGATAGTGGGCTGATACTGAGCCATTCATGGGAAACCAAACAAGCCAGGGGAAATGTTTCTGTGGGTCTCTCCTGCTCTGTCATGCATGTCTGTCTCCAGAGAAGCTTATTTTGTATCCCCTGCTGTTTTGCCCTTTTCCTTGCTGAGTGAAATATTGTCCACCAGCAAGATTTGGGCTTTAAGGTTTGAAAAAAAAAAAAAAATCAATCCGGCATCACCAACGCTGAAGTGGTTCACTCGCCTGAATTCCATGCAGGCTTCGGAGGTGCAGTTGCCATTTTCCACAGTGACAGTGTCAGAGTGAGTTTAAATGTTTCTCTGCCTCCACATAAGTTCCCCGTGGTTGACTTGTGACCATTCCTGGGTGTAGCCCACCTTTTGTCCAAAGTCCCTTAGAATAGGCACTGCAGCTATCTTGCAAACATGCATGGAGGAAGTGGTATACAAAATGGATATTTCATGCGATGTTGGTCGATGCAGAGAAAGTAACATAAGCACATAATAGCTTCCTCCTCATTTTTTTCATCCACTGGGAAATGTCTCTCTGACTGGGGAATCCGAGGTTTATAAGGGATCAGGGACCATATGATGCACTTGAACGGGGAAGCTAACCGTCTGTGAATATCTGGCAGGATGGATGTCTGGGTAGATTCAATTGTCGGAAGAAGATAAAGAGTGGCTGGGGCAGGTGTAATGGATTCAGTGTGGAAATGGGCTGGCAAAAGGGTGGAATAAAAATGTTTATGGATGTGAGTGATGAATGGAAAGACAATTGGTATCAAGATGTTAGAGACGGCGCAGCAGAGGAAAATAAAAGAGTGAAGAGGCTGACAAAAGTTCAGAGGGAAAGTTGGAAGGAGTGGACAGGGCTTTATGAGGATAGGTATACGCATGTGTTTTGGATCAGACTCTATCCAGCTGGATCAATTTGGTCTCAGTGGTCTCAGCAACTGAGAAGTGAGTAGATCTGCCGCAAGCCTCTTTCACTTCCTCTCAGCAAAGGGACTGTAACACCTCCCTAGTAGCAGATAAATGGGTGTGAACTGATGTCAACAATCAAGCCGCTTACGTCCACTTGATCGAGTCTTTGTGGAGTGTGCTCTTGATCACCCAATAACGTAAGACACATTTGAGACTGTATACACTGAATTTACGGAAACATTTTACAATGAATATCAAAAGGATGAATCTATAAAGCAGCGCTGATCAGTCTAGCAGGAAAGTGATGAGTAGACATCAGTGGTTTACGCGTCCTTGGAGTCACTTGAAAAGCACTACATGCATTTAAGTTATATATTATTATTATTATTATCTTTATGAGGGTTTTTTTGAAACCAAGAAACCATTTATTACTTGGTAGTATTGATTCTTTGAGCCTTTAATACAAGGCATCACCGTTTTCTTTTGCAGTGAGTGATCATGTCCATCCTGCACCTGTGTTTTGAATTTTAAAAAAAAGAGCAAATTTATGTGTTGATTGCCTCTGGATTGAGGTTGAAGCCAGTGGGCTGCTACAATATTCAGCATTCAGTGTGAGGCCACAGAATACCCCAAACCTACTTACGGAACTTATTTACCCACAGATCACGCAAATAGCCGAAATTTTTCTATTCAGTCATGCATTCATTCTTATGTAGTTAATATAAAGTTAAACTTAAAGTGGCAATACCTTTGTGCAGCAGAAAGTCAGTCCAGAAAAGAGACACTTCTGAATCCAACGTAAATAACATCAACCGGTCTGCTTACTTCCATTTAAGAAATGCTAATGTGAGGCAGACGTTCCAACCTTGACACCCCCGCAATAACTGCTTCAAACGTGTGACCCATCACCAAATGTTTACATGCTCCGTTTCAAATGGTTTTCCAGTCTTTCACTGTAACCTCTTTCAGTTGATGTTTATTTTGCGAAGTTGTCTCCTTCACACTAATTTTTAGCAAGTAGAATTCTGGCTAAAGAAGATTAAAGACAACATACAGTTTTATAAGTTCTTTGCAAAACGTAAACAGTTCCTGTTTGTCTAAAGAACTGTCTGTAACATCCATCCATTTTCTAATCCATTTATCCTCACAAGAGTCGCAGGGGTGCTGGAGCCGATCCCAGCTGTCTTCGGGCAGTAGGCGGGGTACACCCCAAACGTTGCCAGCCAATCACAGGGCACACAGAAACAAACAACCATCTGCGTTCACATTCACACCTAGGGACAATTTCGAGCGTTCCATTAACCTACTGTGCGTGTTTTTGGAATGTGGGAAGAAACCGGAGTACCCGGAGAAAACCCATACAGGCTCAGGGAGAACATGCAAACTCTACACAGGACGGCCAAAGCCGGACTCGAATCCTGCACCTCTGCACTGTGAGGCCGGCGTGCTAATCAGTCGACCTCCATCTCTGTAACATACCTTGGTCGAATTAACGCAAGGATCAACAATTAAAGATAGATTTATTCAGTCTATTTCGAATAGAATTTATAATACCAACTTTAAGGGGTGGATCTGTCTCATGCAGTAAGCCAGCCCTCATCGCGCCCCATATACTGCCGAACCATTGCTAGCAAGCACAACCACTAATTGTAGATATAATTACTGTTCATGAAGTAGATCCATAACAATAAAACAGCAAATATTTATTGTAAATACTTTTGCACTTTACTCAGCGTCTTCAAGAACATCCATATGCATCCATGCCTATCCCGTATTCCAATTAGTTATTTTGGCAAATTTAAGCAAGGAACGTGTTTATCACATCGCTGGTTAAAGTTTTCCTCCACATCATAAGCGGCGACCGTTTTTTTTATGCGCCATCTGAGAGAAAATGTGCGAAGCCGAAAAATCAATTTTCATTTCTTTTGTTTGCGTGGCATTGTCTTCATCCCCTTTGGCGTCAACGCTCACTAATTTGGTAGAAGCCGGCGCTTGTGAAAGATATTTCTCTCGGCTGTCTTGGTGCGGGGGAGCACTTAAGTCCATGGCATAATGCGTATTTGACATATACATCATTTCCTTTCATTTATTGATTACGTTTTTGTTTTTGTTTTTGTTTTCTGGGGGGGGTTGGGAGGCAGAAGTAATGTCTACACAAAGTCGAATAAAATGCCTGTGCAGCACACAATGACTGTGTTTATATGCCATCTGAAATATTTGGAAATTACCCGTTGACATGCGTGAGCAGACAGTTACTCCCGTATACGTAGTAATTGTGATACCCCCATCAAACCCGCAACACACAGACAACGTCATGATGCAACTCGACATCATTTCCACTTCATACTGTCTACTATCAATGAATTCATTATATAAGTGTCTTCTATGTTTTATCCAGGTTGGTGGTAATCCACTTGTGCCCGTTCATGCTTTCAATGACTTTTTTCCAGTTCCATTGTTTTCAGCACATTAGTTCCAATCAACAAACCTATTTCCGCATTCAAGTGGGGGATTTGCACACTGTTTACATCAGGCCATCTCTCAATGTCCTTTTGATGTACAATGTTGCTCTTAGTAACCGGGATAGTCTTTTGCGAAAACTCTTCATGCAACTCTCTGTAATTGCAGCTCTTCTGGGAGCTCACGTATTCATTTTTCATGTGTTATGAATAAGTGCTGTTTTTTTTTCTCAATAAAAAGGCAAACAAAGGTTTGCAATAATTAGGCTGCTATTTTCTCAAATGCCAACCTGAGAAACAGGTAGTTTGTTCGTCACGGAACACAAATGTTTCTTTCGAAGGGGATATTCGCATTGATTTGACCAAACATTTATCAATTTGAAACAGTTTGTGGCATGCTTTTGTCAAAATGCATCAAAGGTGAAGACTCTAACTGAGTCTAAAAAGAATGAGCAAACAGCAATGATAAACATAAAGACAGTTAAAAGCATCAATTAAATTTTCACTCCTGGAGAAAGCACTTTACAGGCAAATCTGTTGTATAAACACCTTTTTACCTAGCCTGGTGCAGCACGCCCTCGACGAACCTATTCATTGTTAATGTGTGACAAGGACGCGATGACTGAATGACATGGCGATGTTTTAAGATGGGTGTTTTCCATCATGCCTCAAGTTGAAAAGCATTCAATTTTGAGAGTGGTGTCGCCGTGATGTCATTTGGCGCATCCAATAAGAGGTGATTTCAGAGTGCTAACTGCAACAGACCAACCAGTGGGATATCTCGCACCAGAGCACACTCATCTTTGTGCCCAGCCCCGCAGTCAGCGTCAAGAAAACAAAGTGCAGTGTGAAAAGGTCTTAACACTGAGGCCGTTGGCAGTACTTTATATGTTAATTCGAACATT